AAAAAAAAAAAGCAAACTATTTTTAACCTTTAACGTGACATGCATTTGTTTTTAACTGTCTCAGTTTTATATAACCATATACTCAAGGTCTTTATCATTCAAAGTACAGGAAGGTTGTGCATTTAATCTTTAGCATGGTTGTAGGAGATATGATTCACAGAGTAGAAAATAGATAAAAATAAGCATGCAGCCAGCATGGTGCCAAATCATCAGAACTCACCATCTTATCAACAAATGGAAGTCATTCTTCTTTATTTCTTGAGCAAAGCAGTTTCATATAAGATAAATAGCTTTCAGTCAGAATAGCCTAACATGCAATATGCATCTTTTTGACATGTATATTCTAATACTACTCTAAACCGTAAGATTAAAATAAGAAAAATCTCAGGGTAGTGTGTTGACAAGAAGCACTGGTTGAATCTGTATTTTTTTTTTTCCATTTTTCATCTCCCAGAATTTGGCTGTGTGTATGTTTGTACCTTACGGGCTGTCATTAAGTAATCAACTTCTAGTGACCTTCAAGTATCATTTTCTAAAGTTTTATGCAGGGGAATAACTTCTGGGACATGTCCTTTTTATATCAAATATATATCAAATATCAAAAACCATTTAATGCTTTGGAGACACTATGTTTTGTTTTCAGAGACCAGGATATGGGCAGAACATGTTTCTAATAGATGTAAGAGACTGAATTATGGATTTGTGAGCTTGAAAAAGCCACTTAGCTACTGGATTTTCATCTTCTCATCTTGCAACGGAAGAATTTTGTGTCAGGTGTTTCTTTTTTTTTTTTTTAATTACACCAGCTCTATAAATAATTTTACCGTCTATGAATAATTGTTCTTTTGTTAGCATAGAAAGGAGACAGGTGATGAGTGAGGTGGAATGAAAAAATTAAGGGATGCAAGCCTTTGGCACTGAACCCATCTTCCCTCTATGGGTCCCTGGGGACGCTGATCATTGCTGAAAGTGCTGCTTGCCCAGGTTCCCAGCCCCTTCTCTCCACAAACCCTGTTGACAGGCAGCCATGGTAGCCTCTCATCTTTCACTTTCTGATATAGAAAACTGAACTAAAGCCCTAGAGACAATTGGTGAAGTAGCAGAAAACTTCAATTTTCAAATATTCATTGCTTTCCTATTGGCCAATTTGCACATGTGGAGGAGTTTATAGCAGACTCCCTTTGATTCAATCTCCATCTCTGCACTCATCTAGCTGTTTGACTTCTTTGAAATTCATCTCCCAATTTTTTCCTCATCTGTAAATTGGGTAAAATACCTAGATGTGTACTATTATGGAAGAAAAGCAATTATTTACAACCATTCAAAAAATACTCTTCTCCTCCCTGTACTTCATGGCCAAATCATCTTGGAGAATATTGGCGATGACACTGGACATTGTCCATAATAAAACTCTATAGAATCTATTTCTAGGCCAAACATTGTTTAGTGAGGATCTATGTCTTGAAATGACAAGATGTGAAGGAAACTGACTCCTTTACCTGAAAGAACTTACTATATCTGTTTATACTGATCAGTTTTGTCTTGACTTGAAATATTGATTAAATTGGCTACTTTCTGAAGTTTGAACTTTGTCTGCCTCTGTGACCGCATCTCCCTCTCTTTTCCATCTCCCAGCCCCACACTTCAAAGAAAGCATGTAATAACCTAAGCCTGATGATGAAATCAGTCCTGCTGATGTCAAATTAGTTATGTCTGTGAAAGCTCTTGGAAAAGGATGATAAGAATAAAGTAAAAAACAATTTCTTAAAAAGTAAACTACTTTTCACTAGATAAAAAGCCAGTGTATAGGAAACATGAAACATGTGCTCTGCCTCAATTTTGTGGGACTTATGAGAAACAGTATAGAATAGCCCACAAAAGGACAATCAGGAGGCCTGGTCCCTAAATAACGCTTTCCTCCCTCCTTACTCTCCATCTGGGCTGTTACGTGTAGTGTTAGAAAGTATAACATAGCAGCACATACACTGGGTTGGAATCCCAACTCTACACTTCACTAAGGGAGTGTTTTTAGACAAGTTACTTACTGTCTCAATTTCTCATCATGAAAATGAGGGCGGTACTGTCTAACTCAAAGATCTGAGGTAAGTACTCAAGAGAATAATCAGGAAAGACCCTGGCCCAGAGTCTTGCTCAGAGCACACATGTTTTAAAAAATGTAGTTAATAATTTCTAGTATTATTTTTACTGCTGGGTGTGGTGGCTCATGCTTGTAAAGTCAGCACTGTGGGAGGCCGAGGTGGGAGGATCACTTGAGGTCAAAAGTTCGAGACCAGGCTGGCCAATATGGTGAAACCCCATCTCCACTAAAAATACAAAAATTAGCCGGGTGTGGTGGCATGCCTATAATCTCAGCTACTTGGAGGCTGAGGCATGAGAATCGCTTGAACCCTGGAGGCAGAGGTTGTAATGAGCCGAGATCGTGCCACTGCACTCCAACCTGGACAGCGGATTTAGACACCATCTCAAAAACTAATAATATTAATACTAACAATTATTTCTAGTAGTAGTATTTTTTGATAGAGAAGGCTGGATTTGATAATCTAAGTTCCTCTTCATCTTTAAAGTTACACTTTCCCCATTTGGTTGCTCACAAAATACTCCTTGCAGAGTCTGGCACACCCTAAGCTCAGTGTTTGGGGACCTGACCAGATTTGGCAGGAAAGGCAATCTGGATGGATAATTATAAAAAATGAAAGCTATTCTATCATTACAAGCCTAGTTGGTGTAGACAGTGTTCTGTAAATCTCCATGATCATTTCATCTTCAGTTAATACTTACAAATACAGAGAACCATCTCATACAATAAAAGTGAGTGCGGAATATTTTTGCAAGCTATTAGAACATTTTGAAAGAGTACTATAAACATGTACAAGATGTGACTATGTGGTAATGAAATGAATTTTCCTGTGTGGCATGAAGGCTCATTATCTTAAAGCCATGCTCTGTGCTGTTTTACAGAAGCCATGTGTGACATTTCTCACTAATGGCTTATGCTGTTACTAAATCCTTGTCTCTAACTCCCTCAGTCTTTGGGAATGCAGGCATCCACTTGCATGTAAATTAATACCTTTGCAGAATGGAAATGAGGTAGCCAGAAAAGTCCTTTCATTTCTTGAGTCCAATAAGGAAATAAGTTCCTTTTCCTAATTATATATTTGACCATAGTTACTGTTTTCAAACTTACATGGAAATACTCATTTTATGAGAAAGCATGCTTTCATGATCTCAGTAAATAAAACGGGGGCTTTGTTTCTCATGATTATACTATTTACATTAAACTGTGATTATCAGCTAGGGAGAAGAGTAGGTGTGCACACTTACTTTCTTCTTCGAGGAAGTTTTCAGCGGCTGATAGTAACCTTCTTCTGTCGTCTGGGTTTTCAATATTTAATTCAATGAGGTGACTCTCTTTTATATCCTTTAAATCTTCTAGAGTCTCATAACCATTGAGCAAAAGTGTTGAGGTATATTCCTGTGGGACAAAAAATATAATGCAAATTAGATTCAAATATTTTATTTCTAGTTCTCTTTAGATTTAAAGAAAGTATAGAGATGCATATAGGAACCAAAGGTGCCAATACAACTTTCGCTTAACTTCACTTGTATTCGTTTTTGACATATGAACTCCAGGGCTCTTCAATGGTTGTGTTGTGTAATTCTCGCCTTTTGGAAGGCCAAATGTAAAGAGGAATTAATTACCTTAAGCTATACAATTCCAAATCCTGGATCCATTAAATAGTTGGATCATGCATCCCATTTGGAAATTTTTCACTTCTCAACTAACTGAATTGGCAGAACTAGCATTGCTTTAAGTCTGTCAATAAAATGCCTCTAGCAGAGTAGCATGCTACAGTTATATTTCAGAATCTACATCTCTTCTTGTTTTCATGATTGCAAAAGCATCTGCTCTCAAAATGTTCTTGGGGTAGGTTAAAAAATGAGTTTGAAACAGATGTAATTCTGTACAAAAAAGTGGGTGTAGCATTTTGGTTGAAAGGCATTATATAAACCAAAGGAATTCAAGACTTTCTACTTAATTGAAAACTTTTACTAAGCATAGAAGCACTGTAGTTGGGGCAAGAATTGTTTTCTCAGCATGTATATTTTGTTCATCATTTGAATCAATATATATTAGTTTAAAATTCATAGGTTTCTGATTTCAAAGTCTGTATGTTATTTTGAAACTTCTATCCTCTCGAACAAAATAAAAATATTAAATGAAGTTGAGTGCTTTTTCAACTTCCTCAGATTCCTCCCTCATTTTACTTGATCTAATTTCAATATCCTTATTTTAATTACTAAAATAGAATAAGAGGAAGTCTAAAAGTTTTAAGTAATCAGGAAGAACTTATGACTAGCCCTTTTTAAAAAAAAAAAAAAAAAAAGGGGAAGAAAAGCAAGAAGAGTGACAATTCTTTCTTTAGAAAAGTATATTCTTAGCACTGAATTAGAATAAAGAAACACAAATTCCTGTTCTGACATATAACCATGTAACTGCGGGTTCTTGGGGAAGTCATTTCAGTCTCTTAGAGTTTGGTTTTCTCACAGGTCACAGAACAAACAAGATGCAGAGGCAAGGCGCTAACCCGTACATTCTCATAGGAATATCCCATTTGAGGTGCACCAATAGTAATATAAGAAGGCTTAGATACTGTGTGTACAGACAGGAACATAACTAGATAATTCAGAAAAAAACAATTAAGAAAAGTGTAATTGACTATTGTCTTGATGAATTTTGAAAACTATCAAAGTACTTCTCAGTTAATTTTAGAAATGGATTGCAAAACTGTAAATTGATTGATACTAGATGTATTATATGTACACACCATTTAACAAGGTAGATATTTCAAAAGATATTTGGTAATATAACAAGAAAATAATAATTGGGTTATAAATACAGACAACACAGTTTCCTTAACACAATCATTATGGGGCTTGATGATCACCGTTTCCCTCAAATTATTTTTAAAATAATTACATTCAGTTATCTTCTCTCAACTTGATTTTGACCTCTGCTTTGTAGAAAATACATTTCTCTTTTCATTTTTCCTTTCACTTTTTTAGACTTACTTTATTCCTTATATTCTCTTTACCATTCTCATTTAGACATTTTATTAGGGCCTTTTATTCTCCTAGATATTTTTCATTGTTCATTGCATTTTCTCAACGTTCATCTCTATTGTCACTGCTAAATACTATTAAGGTATAGTCCAAGGGATATTAGATCAAGACTTGTCCTTGCATAAAAAAAATGTCATAAAGGAGAAATAAGAGCTCTTCTAGGAAAACAGGCTTTCCTTTGCTTCTAAGTCTTGTATTTTTAAGCAACGCAACACAAATACTGATCCACTCCCTTCAATTTTTCCATTTACATGCCACCAAAAGCAAACAGGACATAGATTTGCTCACCTGAAGATGAATCCTCTCTAGGAACTCCTGCAGAGTCTTGGATTTTTCACTGCTACTCCTTCGGTTTGCCTTTATTTTCTTGGGGGCTGCTTCTTCTTCTGAGATGACATCCACATAAATGAATTTGAAGTTTCCCACTTTATTGTTCAACATTCCCGTCCACATCCCCATTGGTGTTTTGCAGATAATGTCTATGATGTCTCCTTTCTAAGGACGAAGAAATCCATAAACATTAGGCTTCAGAGAACTATGGTGCTATACAAATTGGTAGAAAGAATGAAATCATAGGAAACTAGGATAATGAGGACATTATGCTAAAGCGGTTCAGATATAACAGAAACAAATCTAAACATTCACTTCTTTCAAAAGTTCAGGCTGGTGGCATGGTGGGTCATGCTTATAATCCCAGCACTTTGGGAGGCCAAGGTGGGAGGATTGCTTGAGGCCAGGAGTTTGAGACTAGCCTGGGTGACAAAGTGAGATCCCATCTCCACAGTTTTTTTTCTTTTAATTAGCCTGGCATGGTAGCATGCATCTGTAGATTGAGGTGGGAGGAGTTCAAGGCTACAGTGAGCTGTAATCATGTCACTGCACTCCAGCCTGGGCAACACAGTGAGATCCCATCTTAAAAAAAAAATTCAAAGAAGTTATGTACTAGTTACAATGAAGAAAACTTCAACATTCTTGACAAAAAGCTCTCACATAGTTCGATGACATGTTTCTGTTTCTGTTATTGTATCAATTTATCAACTTATAACTGTAGAGCGCAGTGTAATTTACAAAACACTTTTGCCTACTCTAAGTTATTTTTGCTCACAACACACCTCTTAGATACATAAAGGGGGTATCATCATTATTAATTTAAATATTACAGAAAAAGAAACAGAGATATTAAATGACTTCTGAAGAGCTTGCAGGAAGTTAACGGCAGAACAGAACTCAAGTCCAAGTTATCTGAACTAAAAAATGATGCTCTTTTTATTTATACTGTCAAAGTAATATATATGTAACAAAGCTCAAGTTATCATTCCTGGAAGTGCTCCCCAGCTGGGGAAGGAGATGAAACAGAAGTCTGTTACTCTATGTATTTCTAGTGTATCTGAAAAATTTATCTACGGTATAAAATAAACCCATTTCAAGAATTTCATCCATCTAAAATAAAGAAATTTTGCAGAATTCACATAAAAGTATGTGTGCACTGAGGATAAATTACGCTACTTAATTCCTTTTAAGGTATTCATGCTTTCCTCTTATTAAGAAGAGATAGCACTTAGATTGAGCTCACAGCAAAGTTTAGATTGAAGTGTGAATGAATCATATTAGTATGGACAAACCAATTGGTGTTTTTCTTTACTCACATCTAAGACCATAATTAACTATAGGCTGTCAGTTATTGGCAAGGGTAGAAAACCTCATGGGGATGTTTCTTTGTAAAGAAAATTTATTTCTATGCAAATATGATGTCTATGTTCAAGAGTTATAGTTCCTCCTTTGAGACTTAAAACTTTCTGCCTCAGAGAGGACTTTACAGATTCTAATATTTTAGCCCCTTTTAAGTGTCTACCCTCAAACAAAGCATCAAGCCTGCTACTAAAAGTACTTTTTTCTTGCTGCTCTGGGAATGTGTGTTCTTCCATCTAAAAAACAAATTTTATTTGTAATGGTATAATTCACCATGACTGAAATATCTGGTCTACCTCGTGATCATCTGTCTGTTTAGTCTTGTGAACTGTTAGACTGGGTCTTTCTGCCTTTAACAAAAGGGAATCAAATCATAGGTTGGATGGTATCAGCTAGGGAGACTGAGAAGTTCTCCTGAAGCTCTAGAAAGTTGCTAGGCATGGAAAAAACCCTTTACTGCATCCTTCCTATTATCCTTGAAACTTGTAAATTTGCAACTTTAGCCTTTACAGGTATATACTTGCACATTCCAGGAAAGCCCACAGGTCATCAAGCAAAGACTCAATTTCATTTTGGATAAGACCCTTGATGGAAATAATAGTATTTCAATTTTCATGGGTAACTGGGGAATTCCTCTTGTGTCCTCTAAGAGCTCCACAAAAACTCACCTCAGGCAGCAGCAGCAGTGGTACCCTGGCATGGTATTGTAGGGAAGTTGAAAGGCTATCCTGAGTCAAACTGTGTTGTGTTTATTTCCTTCTACTGCTCTCTCCCACAATGGTTACTAGGTTATGGATATCCTTTCCCCAAGACTTGAACTTAGACATCAGATCATTCCATATACATAACTAAAGAGCTTAGTATGGGGAACAGTGCATTTTTTATTCTCCAGTTGAGCTTACTCTGATTTAATAGCATGGAAGGGATCAAGAGAAGGGCTGAAGACTTTAAATGTTAAATAATAATATAAATACTCCATAATATATCATAATTATTAGTTAACATTGGTTTAGTGTTAACAATATAGCACATTCATACTTTATGTCCTTTGACTTTTAGCACTTTGTGATACTAGAAAGGAATAATTTAACATCTATGAATTCTTTTAGCACAAAACCTTCTGTTTGTGCCATTGTAACCGACCCCTCTCCTTGAGTGTGAGCAGGATTATGAAAATGATGGATTTCACACTCATGATTATGTTACCCTTATATGATAGGGGGGACTTTGCAGATCCAATTAGGGTACTGAGTTATTTGATTTTGAATTAACTGAAAGGGAGATTATCTTGGTTGGTGTGACAAATCAGGTAGGATCCCTTAAAATAAAGATTAAAGCCTGAGCGAGCTTTTCCCTGCTCATCCTGAAAGAGCAAACTGCTGTATTGTAGAGAGGGCTCTGGCTGGTGGGATCTAGAGGCTGAGAATGGCCTCCAGTTGACATCCAGCAAGAAAATGGGGTCCTCAGTCCTACAACCACAAGGAACTGAATTCTGCCAACAGCCAGTGAACTCAGAAGAGAACCCTGAGCCTCCGGTGAGATCACAGCTTGCTTAGAATTCAACTGAGCCATGCCCACAATTATGACCTATAGAAACTGAGTTTGTGTTGTTTCATGCCTCTGAGTTTGAGGTAATGTGTTACACAGCAATAGAAAATGAATACAGAGGATAAGAAGAGGGAATTCAGGAGGGAATATCACTGGGAGAAAGGTCTCTGGTTACTCATAGCAACCAACTTAGAAAGTGCTAGACATTTCCGGGGCATCATGGCAGACGGGAGGCAGGACCAGGTTGCAGCTCCAACTCGAGCAGACAAAGGAGTGTGTGGACACTCACATCATGAATTTTTGCTTCAGAACGATTGCAGAAATAACTCAGGAAACCTGGGAGGACTCACAGACCCCCTGAAGGAAGTGGATTCCTCCTTCAGTAAACAGGAGACAACCCAAATACTGCGCTGGTATCCACAGTTGAGAGGCCCACAGACAGTTAACATCACAAGACTCTGTGCAGACAACCCTTAGTACCAGTCTAGAGCCTGGTAGACTTGTTGGGTGGCTAGCTGTAGAAGAGAGGTAACAATCATTACAGATCGCTCTCAGGAAGCCTCATCCATAGGAAAAGGGGGAGAGTACTACATCAAGGGAACAGCCTGTGGGACAAAAGAATCTGAACAACAGCCTTCAGCCCTAGACCTTCCCTCTGACAGCGCCTACCCAAATGAGAAGGAGCCAGAACACCAACTCTGATAACATGACAAAACAAGGTTCTTTAATACCATCAAAAAGTCACACTAGCTCACCAGCAATGGACCCAAACCAAGAAGAAATCCCTGATTTACCTTAAAAAGAATTCAGGAGGTTAGTTATTAAACTAACCAGGAGGCACCAGAGAAAGGTGAAGCGCAATGTAAGGAAATCCAAAAAATGATACAAGAAGTGAAGGGAGAAATATTCAAGGATAGATAGCATAAACAAAAAACAATCAAAACTTCAGGAAACAATGGACACACTTATAGAAATGCAAAATGCTCTGGAAAGTTCCAGCAATAGAATCGAATAAGTAGAAGAAAGAAATTCAGAGCTCGAAGGCAAGGTCTTTGAATTAATCCAAACCAACAAAGACAAAGAAAAAAGAATAAGAAAATGTGAACAAAGCCTCCAAGAAGTCTGGGATTATATTAAATGACCAAACATAAGAATAATCCGTGTTCCTGAGGAAGAAGAGAAATCTAAAAGTTGGGAAAACATACTTGAAGGAATAATCAAGGAAAACTTCCCTGGCCTTGCTAGAGATCTAGACATCCGAATACAAGAAACACGAAAAGCACCTAGGAAATTCATTGCAAAAGGATTATTGCCTAGGCACATTTTCATCAGATTATCTAAAGTTGAGACAAAGGAAAGAATCTTAAGAGCAATGAGACAAAAGGATCAGGTAACCCATAAAGGAAAACCTGTCAGATTAACAGCAGATTTCTCAGCAGAAACCCAACAAACTAGAAGGGATTGGGACCCTATCTTCAGCCTCCTCAAACAAAACAATTATTAGCTAAGAATTTTGTATCCAGCGATATCAAACTTCATATATGAAGGAAAGATACAGTATTTTTCAGACGAACAAATGTTGAGAGAATTCGTCACTACCAAGCCACTAAAAGGAGCTCTAAATCTTCAAACAAATCCTGGAAACACATCGAAACAGAACCTCTTTGAAGCATAAATCTCACAGGACCTATAAAACAAAAGTACAATTTAAAATGCACACACACACACACAAAATGTATGCAGGCAACAAAGAGCATGATGAATGGAATAGTACCTCACATCTCAATACTAACATTGAATTAAATAGCCTAAATTATCCACTTGAAAGTTACAGAATTGCAGAATGGATAGGATTTCACAAACCAACTATCTGCTGCCTTCAAGAGACTCATCTAACACGTAAGGACTCACATGAACTTAAGGTACAGGGGTAGAAAAAGACATTTCATGCAAATGTACACCAAAAGTGAGCAGGAATAGCTATTGTCATATCAGACAAAACAAACTTTAAAGTAACAGAAGTTAAAAACGACAAAGAGGGACATTATACAATGATAAAAAGGCCTTGTCTAGCAGGAAAATATCACAATCCTAAACATGTATGCACCTAAGACTGGAGCTCCCAAATTTGAAAAACAATTACTAATAGGACTAAGAAATGAGATAGACAGCAACATACTAATAATGGGGGACTTCAATACTCCAATGACAGCACTAGACAGGTGATCAAGACAGAAAGTCAACAAAGAAACAATGGACTTAAATTATACCCTGGAACAAGTAGACTTAACAGATATATACAGAACATTCTGTCCAACAACCTCAGAATATACATTGTATTCAACAACACATGGAACTTTCTCTAAGATAGACCCATATGATAGGCCAAAAAATGAGTCTCAATAAATATAAAACAATTTAAATTTATCAAGCACTCTTTCAGTCTACAGTGGAATAAAACTGGAAATTAACTCCAAAAAGAACCTTCAAAACCATGCAAATACATGATCCTTGGGTAAAAAATGAAATCAAGATGGAAATTAAAAAATTATTTGAACCGAACAACAATCGTGACATGACCTACCAAAACCTCTGGGACACAGCAAAGGTGGTGCTAAGAGGAAAGCTCATAGCCCTAAACACCTACATCAAAAAGTCTGAAATAGTCCAAACGGACAATCTAAGGTGACACTTCAAGGAAAGAGAGAAACAAGAACAAACCAAACTCAAAAACAGCAGAAGAAAGGAAATAACCAAGATCAGAGCAGAACTAAATAAAATTTAAGCAAAAACAATACAAAAGATAAATGAAACAAAAAGCTGTTTTTTGAAAAGATAAACAAAATTAATAGACCATTAGTAAGAATTCAAATAAGCTCAATAAGAAATGAAACAAGGGATATTACAACCGACACTACAGAAATACAAAAGATCATTCAAGGTTACTATGAACACCTTTACATGCATAAAGTAGAAAACCTGGAAAACATGGATAAATTCCTGGAAAGATGCAACCCTCCTAGCTTAAATCAAGAAAAATTAGATACCCAGAACACACCAATAACAACCAACGATATTGAAATGGCAATTTAAAAATTACCAATAATAAAAAAGTTGAGGACCAGACCGATTCAGAGCAGAATTCTATCAGACATTCAAAGAAGAATTGGTACCAATCCTATTGACACTATCCCACCAGACATAGAAAGAGGGAACCTTCCCTACATCATTCTATGAAGCCAGTATCACCCTAATACCAAAACCAGGAAAGAGGATAACCAAAAAACAAAACTACAGACCAATATCCTTGATTAACATAGATGCTAAAATTCTTAACAAAATACTAGCTAACTGAATTCAGCAACATATCAAAAAGATAATCCACCATGATCAAGTGAGTTTAATACCAGGGATGCTGGGATGCTTTAACATATGCACGTTAATAAATGTGATACACCACATGAACAGAATTAAAAACAAAAATCACATGACCATCTCAATAGGTGCAGAAAAAGCATTAGACAAAATCCAGCATTTCTTCATGATTAAAACTCTCAGCAAAATAGGCATACAAGGGACATACCTCAATACAATAAAAGCCATCTATGACAAACCCACAGTCAACATAATACTGAATGGTAACAAGGTGAAAGCATTCCTTTTGAGAACTGGAACAAGATAAGGATGCCCACTCTCACCATTCCTCTTCAACACAGTACTGGAAGTCCTAGCCAGAGCAATCAAAAAAGAGAAAGAAATAAAGGGCATCTAAATCATTAAAGAGGAAGTCAAACTGTCACTGTTTTCTGATGATATGATCATTTACCTAGAAAACCATGAAGACTCTTCCAGGAAGCTCCTAGAACTGATAAAAGAATTCAGCAAAGTTTCTGGATACAAAATTAATGTACACAAATCAGTAGCTCTTTTATACCCCAACAGCAATCAAGCTAAGAATCAAATCAATAATTCAACCCCTTTTACAATAGCTGCAAAAGCAAAACAAAACAAAGCAAAACAAAAAAACAACTTTGGAATATACCTAACTAAGGAGGTGAAAGACCTCCACAAAGAAAACTACAAAGCACGGCTGAAATAAATCAGAGATGGCACAAACAAATGGAAACATGTTCTATGCCCATGGATAGGTAGAATCAATATTGTGAAAAGGACCATACTGCCAAAAGCAATCTACAAATTCAACAGATTTCCCATCAAAATACCACTATCATTCTTCACAGAATTAGAGAAAACAATTCTAAAATTCATATGGAACCAAAAACGAGACTGCATAGCCAAAGCAAGCTTGAGCAAAAAGAACAAATCTGGAGGCATCACATTACCTAATTTCAAACTATACTATAGGCTATAGTCACCAAAACAGCATGGTACTGCTACAAAAATAGGCACATAGACCAATGGAACAGAAAAGAGAACCCAGAAATAAATCTAAATACTTAACAGCCAACTGACTTTTGAAAAAGCAAACAAAAACATAAACTGGGGAAAGGACACCCTTTTCAACAAATAGTGCTAGGATAATTGGCTAGCCATATGTAGGAGAATGAAACTGGATCCTCAACTCTCACCTTATACAAAAATCAACTCAAGATGGATTCAGGACTTAAATCTAAGATCTGAAACTATAAAAATTCCAGAAGATAACATTGGAAAAACCTTTCTAGACATTGGCTTAGGCAAGGATTTCATGACCAATGACCCAAAAGCAAATGCAATAAAAACAAACATAAATTGCTGAGACTTAATTAAACTAAAAAGCTTTTGCATGGTAAAAGAAACAATCAGCAGAGCAAACAGACAGCCCACAGAGTGGGGAAAAATTTTCACAATCTATACGTCCGACAAAGGACTAATATCCAAAATCTACAATGAACTCAAATCAACAAGAAAACAAACAAACAATGCCATCAAAAAGTAGGCTGAGGACATGAATAGACAAGTCTCAAAAGAAGACATACAAATGGCCAACAAACACATGAAAAAATGCTCAACATCACTAATGATCAGGGAAACGCAAATCAAAACCACAATGTGATACCACCTTACTCCTGCAAGAATGGCCATAATCAAAAAATTAAAAAACTGCAGATGTTAGCATGGATGTAGTGAAAAGGGAACACTTCTACACTGCTGGTGGGAGTGTAAACTAGTACAACCACTATGGAAAACAGTGTGGAGATTCTTTAAATAACTAAAGTAGAACTACCATTTAATTCAGCAATCCGACTGCTAGGTATCTACGCAGAGGAAAAGAAGTCACTATACGAAAAAGATACTTGCACACACATGTTTGTGGCAGCACAATTTGCAATTGCAAAAATGTGGAACCAACTCAAACGCCCATCAATCAATGAGTGGATAAAGAAACTGTGGTATAGGCTGGGCGTGATGACTCATGCCTGTAATCCCAGCATTTTGAGAGGCTGAGGTGGGTGGATCACAAGGTCAAGAGATCGAGACCATCCTGGCCAACATGCCGAAACCCCATCTCTACTAAAAATACAAAAATTAGCTGGGTTGTGGTGGCCTCCAGCTACTTGGGAGGCTGAGGGAGGAGAACTGCTTGAACCCAGGAGGCAGAGGTTGCAGTGAACCAAGATCGTGCCACTACACTCCAGCCTGGTGACAGAGCAAGACTCCATCAAAAAAGAAAAGAAAAGAAAAGAAAACCATGGTGTATGTATACATACAATGAAATATTACTCAGCTATAAAAAGGAATGAATTAATGGTATTCACTGTGACCTAGATGGGACTGGACACTATTATTCTATGTAAAGTAACTCAGGAATGGAAAATCAAACATCATATGTTCTCATTCATAAGCAAGAGCTAAGCTATGAAGACGAAAAGGCATAGGAATGACCCAATGGACTTTGGGGACTTGGGGAAAGGATGAGAAGGTGGTGAGGGATAAAATACTACAAATAGAGTGCAGTGTATACTGCTTGGGTGATGGGTGCACCAGACTCTCACAAATAACCACTAAAGAACTTAATCATGTAATCAAACACCACCTGTTCCCCAATAACCTATGGAAATAAAAATTAAAAAAGTACTGGAATTTCCTGGCCACGTCTGGTTCCCAAGGCCTTTGCTCAGCTGGGCTCTTGCCTGACATTTGCACCTTTTCTCCCTCTCTCTTCATTATTTCTATTCCTGCAAGTATCAGGCAGAGTTGAGCACCTTCAGCAACTGTGAGGCTTTGGTTTTCAGGAAAATGGAGAGAATTCTTTCCTCCCTGATAGACTCTGAACCTGAATCATCTACATAATAACAACTTACACTAATAGCCTGAACAGACTGATACCCCGCCTCCACCTCACATATTTTATTCAAATTCTTAGCACTGTAAGCGAGCCTCCACTTCTACTGTTGGGAAGAACATACTCACACTCTGTTCTCCCACTGCTTATACTTGCTGAAACAGATCATATAATCAGCATTTGACAAACCATTCAGAAGGGGGGATATGATGTCCTCTCACCTTGATTTTGAGGGAGTCAGTGTCATAGGGACTTGGCGTGAAATCCGTATGCACTCTGGCGCGACCGCAGAATGGTCCTGAATAGGGGCCATCGTCATCCAGTCGAAAGCTGTCCCGGTTACTCGTACCATCTGAACAGCTTGTTACGCCACCTGATGAAAGCAGAAGTTCGCAGTTGTCATTGAAGACTTGTAACATTCTGGACCATCATCTGGACACAACTAAGTATTGATCATCCTGGACCGCTGGATGCCAGGCTCAGGAGGAGGTTCTAATTGACCCATCCTGGTGTCCCTCTCCCAGTTGGTCTCAGTCAGTGACGTCTGTCCTCTGAGTCATTTCTAACCTTTTTCCTGACGATCTGGCCACTCTCTCCTCTACCACCAACCCAAGTACCCTCTCACTTCATTCTCCATAATCTGACCCAGGACATAGTGTACTAAGTATTGGACACTTGCCAAAAGCATGACATTACAAAGTTCCCTGCAACTTATCACAAGACTTCTTCCCCAGAGTTCCCACTGTGTACCAAAGGCCATTCTGAGGCCATATTTTTGACATAACAGGTGGCACTTTTGCTTGTTGTATGAGTGTAAGGGAAGGAGAAAGTGTGTCTGAATATCTGCACCACCATGTGGTTTGAAACTTCTAAACTGGGCCTTTAAAACTGCTCCAAATCCTTGTTGTCTGCTCCTCTTATTTTTGATCTTAAACTTCAGGAAAAAGAGAAAAGAGAGCATTTTGTCACCTCACTGGGAACAAGAATGGCTCCCAGTGGAAGTAACTCTCCTCCCCTACCCTCATACTCAGTCATCACTTCATGTCTTCCTTCAGTCTAACCTTTCATCACTCTCTTCAATGAGGGAATAGCCCACGTTTCACTACCACGCATTGTGGAAATAAGGTAAAGCTCCTTCAAGATGCTCCATATTGTATGTGAAGTGATGGAAAACACAGAGGAGTTGCATTTAATCACACAAATTAAGTGGTATATGGTAATAGTAAAATGAACCACCATCTCTTCACACCCTGCCTTCCATGACAACTCCAGACCAGGGCTTTTCGCAGTCCATTCTAGTTAATAAAATTCTCCCCACATCTAGCATCACAATATAGAGTTTTAAAACTTCCAGCAGAAATGAATACTAATGAGATCTGAATTTCATACATGCAAAAAAAAAATTCTTTAAATGTTTCTGTGTTAGCTTTTGTCACAAAATAACTATTCTACAGCCAATAGGAAAATAGGAATAAAACTCAGGATATTTGAAACATCTGGTCTTTGCCATACATGTTCAAATAACAGAAGCAGTTGATTTAAAAGGAAATGGAAAATAAACTTTGCAAAAACATTTAAAAGCCCTGAAAAGATTAGAGAGATGTATAACAGTCTACATATAAAAAGTCATAAGGCACCCTGCAATATCAATCGTTTCATCCAAATATTGTAGCTGGAAATGTGACTAAATTCTGAGTGATTTCCTTCTTAGAAAAAATATTGATCTTCATTAGAAAATCCTTGTTGGTTACTTATGGATCCCGTTTTGTCACCTAATGGTGATAGTCCTACCATTTATTATTTGCATATTGCTTCACTCTTTACTCGTTCATGCTGGGTTAAGATCTAAAAAGTAAATGTCAGTAAAGTAAATTGATGCAAATGTGCTACATTTTTCAGAGTACTTCAGGAGAAAAGGAAAGTGGTGGGGGGAGAAAGACGGGGACACAGGGAAGAGGGAGGGAGAAAGAAAGAGACAGAGAACAGAACAGAAAATAAATTTCATTTATCTGAATACTTCAAGTCATTTTAAAATATTTCGGCTCAAGATAAAGCTGGCTCCCTCCAACAAGGATTTTTATTTTAAAGATGCATATTTAATCTCCTAATATGACTTTTTTGAGGCATATCCCCAAAAGCCCCGTTGACTACAGTGTTAAAAGTTTTAACACAGTATATACCTGTGTCAAATATATTATGTATTATTTAAACACCAGCAACTCTATATAGATTTAATATATCTTACATTTTTACCATTTCTCTTATCAAGTAGCTGGAACCTCATTGCTAATTTAACTTGTTTTTTAATTGATTTAACCCGGACCTCACACCCAGGATCTCATCCCTGATTCATTAGCCTTACTTGATGAGCTCTGTCCACTGTAGAGACTATCCATGGAGTCACTGGCTTTGAGGGACACCTTCTCTGTGTGGGTCCCAATCACAGGGTCACTGTTTCTATATGGGTGGGCGTTCTCTCCGTCTTCCTCATCCTTCAGAAAACATATCAGAGGTTAGGTACAGAGAGAAGATTTCCACGGAGATGTTCATTGTGTATATTGATTTAACAGGCAAGACATATTTTAGCAATAAAATACTTAAGGATACATAAGGATAAAATACGAAAGTAGTTAATCTTCAGTTCAATTTCTAGCAAAACCTTTTACAATATACTTGGAAAAATTATTCAGATGACACATTCTTTTTGTAGAATTCAGTTGAAATTATAATGGCTCATTTTTACAAACTAGGATGAATATCATATCAATATTATTTAATCAAAAGTGTTAGATTTATTGACATCTATGGTTTATCTTTTAAAGCACTTTTGCTTCTTCATGTTGTCCTTATCCTTTATTTAACACCATTACTAATCCATTGAGATCTGATCCTACAAGCTTAAACTCTGCATAGTTGTTTCATGTCAGTTATTTGCACCCTACCAGATCACTAGATATGAATAAAACATGTGCATTTTGCAATTCTAAAGCAAAGCTTATCTAAGAAGCTTTACAAATCTAATACCGTGCTTGCCACCTAGTCAAGTGAGAAGCAAATCTTGCATAAAATTAGAAAAGACAGACAATTTCAAAACAAATTATATTTTCTTGAAAACATCTCCAATGTTTTCCATATTTCAATAGTTTGGATTAAACCTATGAATTTCTTAATATTCATCAGAATGTAATTCAACATTCTTTATTTGTGAGCATTTCTAAACACTGATAAAACTTCAGAATATACATACGATATACACTCAGTTTGATTCTCCACTTTTATCCATTTCTTTATTCATTCAGTCATTCAACACAATTTTATGGAACACCTCCTAGGTACTGGGCAATGTTCTGGGAACCAGGGATTTTCATGGTGAACAAGGTAACAGAGTGCTTGCTATAATGAAGGATATTCTATTGTGTTAGCTCTGTGTGTGTGTGTGCACGCGTGCGTGTGTGTGTCTGTGTAGAGTATTTGGGGAGGTGTGTATAAACACAATAAGATAATTTCAGAGAATAGTAAGTGTTATGAAAGACATAAAACTGGGTGATGTGAGAGAATTTGTTGCTGAGGTTAGGGTTACAGGTTGGCTGATTTAAATAGAGTATCCTACAAAGACCTCTGCCATACAGTAACATATGCCCTGAATTATTGACCTAAATGATAAGAAAATGTAACTTATGTGAAGCTTTGGAGACAGTTTTCCAAGCAAAAGGAACAGCAAGAGCAAAATAATTGAACTCAGAATTATCTTGGGTTATGCAGGGGAAAACAGCAAGGCTAATGTAGTGAGACAAAGGAGAATATTAGAGTGTGAGTTTAGAGAAGCAGACTGGAGCCACATCAAGAAAAGCTTCATAGACCATGTGTGGTGGCCATGGAAATGTGCCACTTAGATCTCTTGCTGCGGGGTCCCTTCTTTACTGACAGCCCCAGGACTACCCCTCTGTATCCATCACTTCGTTGGCACTAAAGCCATGCTCCCTGTTAGTAACTGAAAAAGCAGGGGTATTGTTTGAGCCCATTCTAGTGGAATGGAGGGTTCCTGTAACGGAAAACTTTAGTATAACAATCCCCCATCAATCTGACCAAAGCTTTCTCAGAATTCTGCTGAAGTATGAGACTCTCTCTACCTGATTCTTCTTCCTTTTCCTTATCCTTTTATAGATGTCAGGTTTGCATTGCAGTCTAAAGGCTTTCTCTTAAGCCTTCCTAGCATTTCTTCCCATAAATCTGTCTGTGGTGTTTCTACTCCTTTCTTGGGATCTGCTTCTCAGAGGACTAGAATGAACACAGCAAGTAAAGGGGTGCACTATGAAGACACTGAAATTTTAACCATGATCTGATTTCCACTTGTCAGAGATATTTCTGGATTTCATATGGAGAATAAATTTTATGGGGGAAAGAATAAAAAGAATGGAAAGCAGTTACGGGATTATTATAATAATCCAGGAAAGAAAGGTTGGTGACTTAGTCTAAAGCAGGAATAGTTTACATGGAGAAATTAGGGAGTTTATATATACTTGGTAATACAGTTCAGATAATTTACTGATGAATTAGTGTGAAAAGTGAGAAAAAGAAGGAATTTAGGGTGATTCTTAGTTTTTCTTTTCTTTCTTCCTCTTTTTTATATTTTTGCTTTTATTTATTTTGAAGATCAGTGTTGTCTGCTGCCACTGGGAATACTGGATGAGAAAACCATTTTTTTTGTAAAAGTGTAGAGAATCAATGTATTAGCTTTGGATCTATTAGGTTTTGGATGTCTACTGGACAGCTAAATGAGGATATCAAAGAAACAATTGATTGTATTAATATGGCAGATAAGTGAAGAGGTCATAGCTAGAGATACAGTTGTGAAAAACGAAGTCATGAGAGCAGATGAGCTGACTTAAGGGGAGAGTGTAGATTCAGTGGTGCATCCAGGAACAAGCCTCAGGAAGATCAGATGTTTCGAGGGATGAGAAAGAAAGCAGAGTCAAGAAAGGAAGCTATGAGGAAAAAGAAATGTCAGAAGCATGCCCAGTCAAAAACAAGAGAAGTGGATGTTTTATATGTAAGAAAATCAGCACTTGAGTCAAATACAGTTGAAAAGTAGTAAGGAGAAAGAAAAGTGACCATTGGACTTGGCAACACAGAGGTCACAACTGATGGTGACAGCTATTTTAATGGAGTACTGGGGACAAGCCCTATTGAAGTGGGTTGAAAAAGAGAATGGACATAAGACATAAAAATCAATAACGTAGAATTGAGAGCCCATAAGTAAACCCACTTATTTATGATCCATATATTTATGACAATATATTTGTGGTCAGCTGATTTTAACAAGAGTGCCAAGACAATCAAATAGGGAAAGAATAGTCTTTTCAACAAATGCTTTTAGGACAACTGTATATCTACATGCAAAAGAATGAAGGTGGACTCTTCCTATATACTATACAGTAAAATTATCTTGAAATAAATCATACACCAAAATTTAAGAGATTATTGGCCTCTTAGAAAAAAACATAGGAATAAATCTTCATTACATTAAGTTAGACAATGGTTTCTTAAATATGTTACCAAAAGCACAAGTGACCAGAAAAAAGATAATCGGACTACAATAAAATTAGAAACATTTGTGCTACAAACAATACTATCAAGAAAATAAAAACACAGTCCACAGAATTGGAGAAAATACATTATATTGCAAGTCATATATCTGATAAAATCTTGCATCCGGAATATATAAAAAACATTTAAAACTCAACAATAAAAAGATAAATAACCCAATTAAAAATGAACAATGGATTTGAAAAACACTTCTCCACAAAGATAGATAAATGACTAAAAAGCACATGAAAAGATTCTCGACATTGTTAGTCATCAGGGAAATGTAAAGTACAACCAAATGTAAATCAAAATCACAATGAGATTCCACTTCACATCCACTAGGATGCGTAGTACTAAAAAGACAGACAATAACAAGTGTTGACAACAATGTAGAGAAATTGAAACCCTCATACATTGCTGGTGGGAATGTAAAATGATGCAGCTGCTTAAAAGACAATTTGCCAGTTTCTCTATTAGACATGGAGTTACCATATATCCAAGAGAAATAAAAAAATATTTCTGCACAAAAAATTGAACAGAAGTATCTGTAGCAGTGTTATTCATAATAGCCAAAAAGTGAAAGCAACCCAAGTGATCACTAAGTGATAAATGGATAAATTAAATGTGGTCCATCTATAAAAGGAGAAATATTATTTGGCAATAAAAAGGAATGACATACTGTCACTTGCTACAAAAATAAGGACATGTTGTTCTTCACATTGCTCTTCACATCACATTCTAGATGCATGATTTTTTTTTTTTTTTTTTTTTTTTGAGACACAGTCTTGCTCTGTTGCCAGCCTGGGGTACAGTGGCGCAATCTCGGCTCACTGCAACCTCTGCCTCTGGGTTCAAGTGATTCTCCTTCCTCAGCCTCCCGAGTAGCTAGGGCTACAGGCGTGCACCACCATGCCCAGCTAATTTTTGTATTTTCAGTAGTGACGGGGTTTCACCATGTTGGCCAGGCTTGTTTTGAACTCCTGACCTCAGGTGATCTTCCCGCCTCGGCCTCCCAAAGTGCTGGGATTACAGGCATGAGCCACCACACCCGGCCAATGCATGATCTTTCTGAGTGTCAGTTTCTTCTGTTAAAATGAAAGTAATACTTCCTTCCAGCCAACTTCTGGGCATAATGACTGAGGAAGAAAACAAATGCTTAAGTACTTCATGAAGTACCAAGCACTTCTATACTCTAGCTGAATAGTTTAAGAAAGTTTTAGTAGAAAAATACAAACGATTATCAGAGAATATTTACCTTTTCCTCAGAAAGGGCTTTGATGTACTTTTTACCAACTTTTTTCTTCATTGTCCATGAAATAGCTCTCATTTTTTTACCCAAACCTCCTCCATTATTTGAAGCTTTACTTGGTTCTCCACCTTCATTTGTGGGATCTCCTTCATGTACCTAGTTTAGCATTTTTACAAAAGATAAAATAATAAAGGAATAAAAAATACTGATCTGAAATCATTGTTACAGAGAACATTCTGAGTTTGTGGACTTCGCATACATTCTGTGCAGCAGCCTCCAAAATTTCTAAAAATCTGGACATAACCCATATTTTTAAAGTTGTCCAGGCCTGGTTGCTTGAGTTACAAACTCAGAAAGTAAAACTTGTGATGTTAAAGGACTTGAGCCTCACATCTGCAACTCTTTTAGAGAATTTCGGCTATTTTTTAAATAGCTGTATTGACCAATCATTTTATTCCCTCTTCTTGAGATGAACAAATAAGATTAAATACTAGGTATAAGGAGTTCTTATGTCTACATAGGTGAAAAATATTTTATTGGAAGCTTTAGATAGGCTGGAGCATCTATCCGTGTTGAATAGACCTTAAAATACCCTCTTGCTTCTCATAGAAATTGAGATGATTGTGGTTAAAGAAGTTTTCGTGTTAATTAAATCCATTGAGAAATGCTAGAGTTTGTTTTCATCTTAGCGTGCACATTTCCCATATTGTCAAGCAATAGTATATATTAACTAGTTCCAGCCATTAGTACAGAAATCTTCATGTAATTCACATGCTAGATTAATCAAACATCTTTCTTGGTTGGACTGCTCTGGTCTTTGCTTAGGAATGCTGTTAAACCAATGCCTCAGAATAAAACACACTGTTCACAGCCACAAGACTCTATATATCATAACATAAAATAATGTTCTGTCAATATCATTCATATATTATGTGATATATATTACATTATATAGAATCTATATGAAATAAAATATCCTCACCACCCACCTTGCCCCTCGCTACTTCTCAAGTCTCCCTTACTCACTAGCGCAGTGGTTCTCAAAATATGATCCCTGGACCAGCAGCATCAGCATCACTTGGGAGCAGTTTGTGCCTTAGCAAGCTCTTCAAGTGATTCCGATACTCACTAAAGTTTGAAAACAACTGTAATAAAGTATTGCCATGCTAGCCCCCTTGCAGTTTCTCTATCAGGTTCTCACCAAGTTTGTATTTGCTTTTGCCATTGGCTTTCCCTAACTATCCAAGAATTTCTTCCTTCAGTCATCCAGGTATCTACTCACATGGTATATAATAGGAGAGCAATTTTCTGATTGATCACCCTCCACACTTCCATATGTCCTGTTTATTGGCCCCGATTAATGATTCCTCTAAGCAGTTAACATTACCCGATAATATGTTTGTTCATTTCATTATTGTCTGCATCTCCCACTATGATGCACGTTCCATGAGACTTGAGACTTGATCTGTTTTCTTTGAGTGTCTAGAGTACTTCCAGGCACATAGCTAGCACTTGATATTATTTCAGTAAATGAAACTTCTCATGTAGAACATTGCAGATTTTTTTTTTCTTGGAGGATATGTTTGGGTTACAAGTCCTAAAATACCTTATATTTGCAAGAAAGGAAACTTGAAGGACATCTAGTTTAACACTGTCCACGATTCCTGATAGGTGGACAGATAGTCATTCACTGAGTATAAAAAATGATGGGAAACTTCCCTTTAGTGAACTTGAATATTTTAATGCAAAAGTTTAACCACATAGCTAACATCATTATTAATCAATATTATATTTTGCTTCGTATCTTACCCCAAATTGCCTATGATAAATATGAATGGACAGCCAATTTAAACCCTCATTGCACTTTATTAATTTCTACATTCAAGGTTATAAAGGCAAAGATTCTTTGCTTAATTCAAAAACCCTGAATAAAATATAATTTGGAAGCACTTTAAAACTTCAGAGTTAGCCTTTTTCTTCTCTCTTCTTAAACTTTCTCTGTCTTCATTGTAAATTTGTTTTTCTAACATAAATAAGAAATATATTATTTAATTACTACTTGTGTTACCCTAGAATTTCTAAACTTCAGAAAGATGTACTATGAATATTTTTTCTGGTTTTTCTAGCATTATTTACAGAAGCTACAAAGAAACTACGTTTATGTCTTTTGAATGTTCACATTTTTCTATGCCTTTCTCCATAGACTGAATTAAATTTCTGTTTAAATATTACTTATGGTTTTGTTGTTGTCTTTTTAAGATTTGTCTTCCCCTATAAGCTCCAGGCATGAAGTAAGGATTTTATTGTGTTATTGCAACAGTACTTCCTGAGTGTCTAACGGAAAATCTGTCATAGAGTGGGTATTTTTTGAATGAATGCTGGATTTTTGAAAAATATGCACACTATTTTATTAGGTTCACTAAATTCTTTCACAAATTACTAGGCCACCATTATTAACCAATGAACCTGAATGAACATGAGCTATCTTGTATAGGTTAATACCAGAATTATAAACTAAACAGCAGTGGAATATATGTATGATTGTGGAGAATTAAAAATGTATACAAGATGCCAACTGAAAATAAAATTATATACAGTTTCTCTCTCTTTCCATATATATATACACACACACAAACACATGTATGTGGCTAGAGAGATTTATATGTATATATTACATTTATTACTCACCATTACGTAAATGTTGATTGACTATATAATTATGTACAAGTTTACTCATAAATGTGAATATATACATAATAAATTAATAAAAGGAATCATTATTAATATTACAATATTTTAAAATATTGCAGATAAATATATTTGAAAATAAGCATAAGATCTAAAAACCTATTGATCTAAAAAGAATATATTACCTGTGAGGTTGCTGAATCAGGTTCAATGGTAAACAGTATTTTCAGTTTTCTTAGTAGACACCCCTTCTCTGTACTATTTTATTAGCTGTTGTTGTACCTGTCATTAATCACTTAGCAAATGTGGCCCCTACTTTATGAGACAATATGGCAAACTTTGGAGTCAGAGAAGAGGTTGAGTTCTGCCTTTGTCACTTACTCACTCTGTAATTTAGAAGTAATTTTATTTGATGAAGCAAGCATATTTCTGCAATGGCAAAATAGATATACTAATAGTTCCTATGTTATAGACAGGTAAATTGTTATAAAGTTAGCATTGTGCTTATTTCATCATGAGTGCTCAATTAAATGTACATATTATTGAAATTATTATGCAAACTTAATTCTATGGGAAGTTTTTCTTAAGCTACAATTAAAATGTCCGTAGTTTACAAATGTGTAAGTAGCGCTCACCAATGGGATATTTCAGTGTACACTGAAGTGTGAGAGTCCAGTTGAGCAGCCGTATGCTCTCCTTAACAAATGTACAGTCGGGCCGCTTAATCTTATCTTGTTCTAATTTAAAGCAATTACAACTGACATAAACTTTTACATATATCTATCAAATAATGTGTATAAACACAATGTGTGTGTGTGTGTGTGTGTGTACACGTATATGTATACACACATTGTTTTATAGTAGAAATACTCAGGAAATTTGGAATTGTCAGTGTCACTTTGAATTCTATCTTTTCGGATTCATGTTTTGCTTTCCCAAACATCTGTTAGGCTTCTTAAAATAGGATTTTACTTTTAATGCCCAGCATGGTACTGGGTACTGATAGAGACGGGAAACAGCCAAGAGTCCTTTGCGAAACCTCGCCTTCAAGCCTGAAACAGCTTGAAGGATGAAAAACCAGACTGCTGATCCTGGATGAAGCTCACCCTTTCCCCACTGATTCTGTCTTAATAATGCCCACCTGTGCACTGGGGGAAGGGGTGGAGCTATGGGAAGTTCACGTGATTTGCTGCCCGGGGGGCGGGGGAGAGGGGGCCTGGCCTCTTTTGTTGCTATGTGGTGGCCTGGGATTCAATCTGTAAGGTAGGGGCCTGCTAGCAGGACTCTCCCTTCCTCCTTTTTTTTTTTTTTTTTTTCCTTTTCACGCAATAAACCCTGCCTTACTCACCCTACAATGTGTGTGTGTGCCTAAATTTTCCTGGTCGTGTGACAAGAACCCATTGCTTTCTACAACAGTACTAAATAATGGTTTGTTCACTTATCACAAAAATACATGCAAGGCTATAATTTTAAAATGTGTTTATTTTTCTTATTTTACTTTGCAAAAGTGACATTGTCTTCATAATATTTCATAATGTGTTTGCATAACATTCATAAAAATGGAATAAACTACCAACCTCAGTTGAATCATCTGGTTTTGATAAAGAATGATTCCGAAAACGATCGAAATTCCCAAAACTGCTGCTTCGCTATAAGATAGAAAAGAAAAAGGAAACTTAGAGCTTGCTATTTTCACTGCCCAAACTGATAAGTATATTAGATTATAGTTTAATAAGCACCATCTCTTGCAAATATAGGCTTTAAGAAGCTCTTCTCTCTGGAATATCCAAAGGCTGTGAAGGCATACCTATTAACACTTTTATATTTACAGTTGATAAAACGTCTTCCTATGTTTTATGTTATAGTGTTAAGTAAGCACCTCAGAGAAAATCTTGGTTAAATTATTTTAAATTTTTGATTTTAATTTTGTTCTTCGAAGCAGCAGCTGAAGAATCCATGAATTCTAAACTAAAGCTTCTTGAAATGAGCTAACCACAAACTTAACAGCATGTGGTACTAACCAACTAACCAATAAACAAATAACAACAACAACAAAACACACAAACAAAAAGCAAGCATCTGAGTAGATCCATCATTATGCCTCACAAAGATCAAGTTTGTTCACACACTGGGGCCTGTGGGGTGGAGGGCGGGGAGAGGGAGTGCATCAGGAAAAATAGCTAATGCATGATGGGCTTAATACCTAGGTGATGGGTTGACAGGTGCAGCAAACCACCATGGCACATGCTTACTTATGTAACAAACCTGTACATCCTGCACATGTACCCCGAAACTTAAAATAAAAATGAAAATAAAAGATCAAGTTTATTAAAAAAAAAAAAGAACATAAGTGCATTTTCTATTACCAACTCTTGATCATTTGAAATTCTCTGCTGGATATCAGAAAAAGAAGGCACACACATAGACTTATTAATAAATTGAACACAGCATTTAGGTATGCATAGTCCAAGGTTGGGAGTAAAACGGAATTTTTCCACATTTAACATAGAATTACAATGAGACCTCTGGGTCAGTTTCATTCACTGTTTTGAGAAAAATCTCAGTATGTTAATAGAAGATGTTGCCTTGAATACCTTCTGCTAACAAAGCTGAATTTTTATTATGCAACTCATTCTAGGCAGGTAATTATAAATAATTTCTGATAGGTGACAAAATAAATGAATCCCTTAAACACATTTTAAAATTCTTTAGAGTCATTGAGTCAAAAAATTGATATTTTCTCACTATCTAATTCTATGCATTGTTTGGGATGGTGGATATCTGATGCTGTGTTCTTTGTGTACTCATAAATCCCGAGAATATTTTCTTTCTAAAGGACTTTATCTTATTTCAAGCTTATCATATTTTAAAAATAAACTGGTGGTACTGACATATAATCTGGTAATTTAGAAAATTAATAATGGGAGTCAGTAATCTATAAAGCCTTATACAACAAGGTCTCACTTAGTGCTGTTGATGGGATCTCGGAAATTGCTACCTTAACCTAAACCAGGTGTAATAAGATCCTCTTTACCATAGGCTGCTTGAAATAAAAAGTTCAAATAACAAGTTCCTATGATCCATTTCTCGTCACAAAAACATTATCAAATTTCTAAATAAAGACCCAAACACTTCTAATGGTAAACACTGAAACAAATGCGATCCATACACACATTTAGGAAAAATTAATTTAAAAAATTAACATCATTATTTACCCAGTTATTCCAGCTCAGGGTTGCCGTGAGTGGTCAGAGCCTATCCCCACAACTCGGGACACAAGGCAGGAGCCAGCCCTGGACAGAGTGCTGTCATCGCAGGGCACGCTGAAGCCCACATCCACACTCACTCATTGTGGAACAATTTGGACACGCCAATTGACCTGAGATTCCCCTCTTTGGGATGTGGGAGGAAACCCACACAGAAATGAGAAGATTGTGCAAACCCTGCAGTGACAGTGACCCTGGTCAGGAACTGATATTTTTCCTCCATCAGTGTTATTATAACAAAATGATGTTGGAGAAAACGATGTTATTGGAGGACCTGCTATATTATCCTTTCAGAAATCACAGCCCATTTCAGTAAAAGGCAGCTTCAAGGGCTCCTAATCCCTGAAAGCTCTCATGCCTCCCTACCAGCTATCTTTAAAAATGTTTGTTTCCCTTTTAAATGAACGGAAATAAAAAGATCCTGACGTGTGACAAGGGGTTAGCTTGATAGACGGTGTGATACAGAATATTGCCCCAAGGATGATAGCTGTGTTAGACACAATTAACGCCTTTTGCTGACTGGCCACCCCTGCTGAACAGGCCCCTCAGCCTGTGGTGAGAGGAGCAGAAGCGAAGGCTGAAACTGAGAACCACACTGGAAAATACAAAGTCTTCTTATGTAGTACTTACTAGCCTAGAGTGGCTTCTCAGAATATTAATCACTCCAACTTGCCTAGTAGGTGTTTCCATCTGGCCGCCATTGCTCAGCAATCGCAGAAAGGAATTGAGCCTATTGTTGTCCAGCTTATAAACAATCTGAACACACGGTAATCTATTACTCTTTTTTATACTTAAAACCATTCTATGGCCGATTGGAGCCCATGCCTAAGGCAATTTTGTAGCCTACATATAGCCTGTTAAATATGAATGAGAGTTAGGGTATGATTTCCACAACTGGATAATGGGTCCTGTTGCACAGGAGGGCACAGAATAGACTCGCTTCAGCATTTTGCTACACTGTCTTCTTCCATTAAGTAATCAATAGCCACCACCTTTTAAAATTAATTCTCCCCTCGTTATATCAATAAAGAAAAGCAGATTTAGGAGTCGTGGTTTAAGAAGAACACAGGACTATTACCCTGGGTTTTGTCAGTCATCTCATTGCTAATTACTCAATAGCTTCAATCCGTGTTAAGACACCCTTAAGAAAAAAATCTAAATATTTAAAAGAACATTTACATTTGTTCACTATTCTCTAGTTTAAAAGTTAGTAACTAACTTTCTCAGATGGTATTATAATGTATAGATTATGGTTTATGACAAAAAATGACTAAGGTCTACTATGAGGTCTGGACAATGAACACATTTATAACTTCTGTTCTTGTCAAGTTTTATGATAACAAGGTGAATTATGTGGAAACAAAGCTTACTTCCTAAATAATAGTACTTAATAAATGAGAATGTGTTTGAATATTAGTAATGTTGCATTATATAATTGTAATGTATTAGACTTAGTAAATATTATCAAGTTCTTATCAAGACAGAGTTATTATATAAACAAATAGCTGTCAAAAAGAAGAGGAGCTTAAATAAAAATGCTATATATATTTTAGATAATTCTTTGTGTCTGCTGACTTTGTATCATATTTACTCATTATACTCTACATAAACGTTTCCAGTCTTTCCTTATGCAATTAGAAATGCATTTGTAAAATGGCACAATACCTATATAGGGGAATTTGGCCATATCAAGCAAAATTACATATACATTTGCCCTCTGTCCCAAGAATTCCATTTCTAGATGTCTTTACCAGCAATACATTTGGATATGAATTGTTTACATTTCCACATTCACTGTAGCACTTTCATATTATCAAAAAGCTGTAAAGCCTAATGTTCATCAAGAAGATACTGATTGAATAATATATGGTACATCCACACAATGCAAATGTATGAAGCTGTAAAAAATTAAATACATGTTTTTATATGCAACAGAACAACCTGTAGGATATAGTGTAAGTTGAAAAAGTAAAATGGAGAAGAGTGCAATATGTTTAAATACATCTAACATCAAAATTCATGAGTTCATAAGGATACTAAAAAGAAAAATTCATCAGTTACATTGGGAAATGTTGTAGTTATATTTTGAAAACTAATAAAAGGACAACTTAGGCATTTAATCTGCCTTTCCTGTATGAAACCTATTTCATCAACCAAATAGTTCATCCACTAAATAGTTGATGAGGGGAAATTGTTCTATATATGTTCATACTTCAGCTAATCAATTAAAAGTGATGAAATAATAAAATTACCATTTTGCAAACCCCTAATGCAATGTTGGATCCAGCCAATGATCATCAATGGTCACTAAAATCACACAAAAGGAGATAACCAGAGTATGTGCTTTGTGATGGAAGCATTAAATACAACTAATGAAATATTGTTTATAAGAAAGAAAGGAAGCAAGAAAGCAATCACACCAAGCTCTGTATCTAGCTACCAGTTTTAAGGAAAAAAAGAGACAGAGGAGCATGTTAAATGATACCAAGAAGATACAGTCAGTCAGAAAATATACAGACAAGAAGATACAGGACAAAACAACTGAGCTTCTTCAGCAAATCAATATAAAGAAATTTTAAAAAAGAGTTAAAGTATAAACTAAGAGACTTCAGAAACATATCATCCAAATATAATCCATGAATCTTGTTTAAATATAGATCAAATAAACCACTATACCAAAAACATCAAAAGACAACTGGGGAAATTTTTAAATGACTAGCTATTTGATGTTAAGGAAGTAATGTTACTCTCTTATTTATAATTTGAAATAATCTAGTGAGGAGCAGCAAATGTGTGGGCATGAGGAAGAAACACAATTGGTCATTCTTGAATAATTAGCTGGGTGGTGGATATATGGGGGCAGTATTTACTAATCTCTACTTTTACATATATTAAAAATTTTCCATAATAAATTGTTGGGTTATCAAAAGAAATATTCCTGTATAATAGCTAAAATGATATAAAAGTTAGTGGTCTCATAACTTTATTTATTTATTTATTTACTTATTTTGAGACCGAGTCTCCCTCTGTCGCAGGCTGGAGTGCAGTGGCTCCATCTCAGCTCACTGCAACCTTCGCCTCCTGGGTTGAAGCGATTATCCTGCCTCAGCCTCCCGAGTAGCTGGGAATACAGGTGTGTGCCACCAGGCCCAGCTAATTTTTTTTGTATTTTTAGTAGAGACAGGGTTTCACCGTGTTAGCCAGGCTGGTGTTGAACTCCTGACCTCGGGCAATTCGCCCACCTTGGCCTCCCAAAGTGCCTGGATTACAGGTGTAAGCCACCATGCCCAGCTGGTTTCATAACCTTAATAAGGAATCAATTTGTTTTAAAAAAAAATCATAATATAGTTTAGGTCATGGTTGTTTGGAAGTGCAGAAAGGGA